GAAGAGATTTTTTATTTCTTGATCGTCTTAGAAATGGGGTTGAAGTGATATGGTAAAAGTTTTAATGAATGAATAGACAACGACTTGTGTTGTTGATATGGTAAAAGAGAAAAGGTCAATATTGAAAATATTGACAACCCAAAAGACTTTAATTGGAATAATATGATTAAATTAATGCCATAAGGTGACTTGCCATTCAACAAATAAATAAGATGATGATTGAGTAGCATTAATAGGAATCAATAAATTTATGGTCTAAGTCTATCTCGGAAAAAGTTGACATCTACACTGTACTTATACTACACCAGTGTAAATTTATTGGTCTAAGCATTAATAGGAATCAATAACTCAGTTACTGCGTAAGGCAGCGACTGATTTATTTTCCAAAGATGTAACAAAAACTTAATAAACTATCTTCCGAATTTAATAAATACTCTTAAGTGTATTACTCAAGAGAAGTTTGAGTTTCTTTTCTATTACTAAAAGAGTTAGTCATTAGAATTCTTACCTGGTTAATAGTTCTAGAGTCTCATGAAATTAATTGAGGTGTACATAAGTTAACCCAGATATCTCTGGACATAAAAAAAAAAAAAAAAACTCGATATTGGGAGTTGAGTTAAAACAACAATATAATTTACATTGAGGGTAATAAGGATGCGAGATAAACGCTAACATTACGACTCAATTAACATAAACAACTTTTCGTACCGTCAGAGTATTTTAATGATAAAACTTCATATGGATTCGATATCCTTTTACCTTTAACCGTTGGCCCAATATTTCATGTTTCAATTTATTACTTACCATTTCTTTTTACCAATCATCTACGGATCCAATCACGCGTTTAGAGTACTTGAGTAGGTTGAAAAAAGACATTCAACCTTAACAAGAACGACTTTCTACCGTATATATAACTCTTGCTCCTTTAGGTTCTTTTAAGTAGTGTGCAGAGTATTGCAGACCAAAGAAAATGATGACTTTGTGTTGTACTGAAACCGAGCGGATATGTAGCATAACATGTCAGATTTTGTGTTCTTATTTTTATTTTTATTTATCAAATATACTCTCAAAACATTATAGTATATTTGCCTCCTCAATTCTTTATCAAGAATATATGATTAAATTAAAATATGCATCCTCGGTATTTTATTAAAGAATTATTAAATATGCAAAACAATCGGTTGTGGTTAAACAAATTAAAATAAATATTTTTTTAAATACTAGAAAATGTAAAAAAAAAAAAAAAAAAACTATTCCTTTAACAATTCTCTTTACATAATTTTACAAAGAATTTGGTTATCCATGTACAGAACCAATTAAAGAATACGTATAGTCAAGGAATAAATCTACATCAGGTAAAATCAGAAAAGTTTGCTTGCAAATTCGTCAATCTCGGCTCCATTACTGCGAGAATAAATTGAGTTTTCGGCGAGATCTCTCAGCTGTGAGATGCTTCTTCCCAACTTCAAAGCTACGTTTTGTACAAACATCTCTCCGTTTACTCTCTTCTCTACTTCGCTTTCATTGAGGGTTGCTTCAATTGATTCCTCCAGAAGTGTGAAGGAGCCAGCGCAGTATCTGTACATCTCCAACACCATACCGACTTGTCCACCATGCTCCAATGTGTTAACAGTGGTAGCTAACGCGCCTGCAGCCACCGCAACGATAGCTGCCCATGACCCGTGAGGAGACCCCACGAAAGCCGACCCGACAGCTGCAATGCCTGTGAGTAATGGCCCTGAGATGGCTAGAATCTTGTTTATCTTCAACGCCAGGTTGCCTAGTCTCATGTAATCTTCTGTATCTTTTCTCTTTAACACTTCAATAATCTCTCTCATTTCCTCTTCCAGATCTACACTCCATCCATTTTTCTCCATCTTCGAGCTACATTGCTCGCTTTTAACTGCTTTTTTGTTGTTTGCCTTGGAATGGTTTGACGGCCACCACACAGCAGGCTCAAATGTTTTAGGGAACTTCTCAATCATTTTACCTAACAAGGGAAGTGGGTATGCTTGGTCAAGCGCCAACACTTTCTCCATTGCATCTTTCACATCTTCTTTATTGGGCAACCTTAGAGCAAAAACTGTTTGTATTTCACTCTGGAGCTGCTTGAACAATCTTGTTGCGTTACGTTGCTCTTCGGCAAGTTGCGAGGGCTGGATCTTGTTCACGATAACCATCATCCCTGTGGCTGCAGAGAACAAGCGAGGGGTTGATGATAATTCAAAAGCCAAACGTGGAATGTGATGTTGTGAAGCCGCGCAGCTGCAAAGAGGCCCACCAGGAAAAATGTGCAAAGCAACACCAGCCATGGTGTAGCAGTGAGGGTAACCATGTTGTATGGAGTTAAAAGAAAAGGGTGGTTCCATGTGTCGTTGCGTGGCCAGGTTGTTGTGCATACTCAACTCTATCTCAGCAACAGCACTCTAATAGCTGGTAAAGTTGGGCTGTCACCATAGAATTGTAGAGTCGTCACATTGTTTCTTTGTTTGTGGCTAGGGACAACTTTTCATAGCTGGATTGAGTGTATTTTTATTATCTCTAATCCTCAGTTGCTCAACCAAGTTTGTACTCCTTTTTTTTGCAGGTGAGAAGTGATTCTTGGGAGTTTTGGGACAGATATGGCACGCATTTGTTCTATGTGAAGAACACATGAAAGAGAAAAAAATATATGAAATTTGTAAAGAAGCCATCTGATGGTGTTGGTTTTCTTCGATTGTATTGTGTTTTACGAAGGTTGAGAATGAAAATCGAGACACAATGAACTTTATTTATATTGTAACGAACTATACTGAAAAGTATTAATAAGAAACGGTATGCATTTGAAAACTATATTGACCCGCGGTATGGATGACTACAATTTAATAGGACTGATTCCGGCATTCACAATCGCCATCAGGTCAAGATAACTTTCCTCCCCGTGACTACCTTCTTTTCACGGTGGCTCTGTCACCTAGGTCATGATGATCTTGTTGACGTGAACACTTGTAATCTGCATGATATTGCGTTATGAGAATGGCTTGTGTGAACTTTCCAAATAGTCCCAATTATAATTCGTCAATAGAAAAAGATGCACATGTTGCTTGTAGATTCGATGAGGGCATGCCATCAACCCCATATTCTCTCTCTCTCCTCTCTCTCTCTCTCTCCTCTCCTATCGCCCTCCTTTTCTCTCATGCTCTCCACTGTCTTGGCTCGACTCTACTTAATATCATATGATAATATATCAATATAATATATATATATATATATGTTGACATCATCACTACCAATCAAGATTTAGCGGACTTTATACCAATTAGGAATCAACAGACACTCAAAGGCAAAGTAACATTAGCTGTCTAAACCTTAAACCATCTTTAGAAGATACTATATACATGTTAAATTTAGGATAGGGATTAAAGATCTTCACATATCAATAATCAAGACAACTTACAAAAACACTTATGACATTGAGCTAAAAATAAGTAACTCTTCTCCTCAAAGAAGAGATTAGATACACACTTGTATACAGAAAAAATAGAGAAGAAACTCTACTAGAAAGAGACTAAGAGCATTTTTAATAGTGCTTTTTATTTTGAAGAGCATCTTTCGTATAAGTAAAGTGTATCTTCATTAATTTTAAAATATAAAAAACATAATTTTTATTCAAATCCAATAGACTCTTTAAATTTAATGAAGATATTCTTTATTTTTAAGAAAGAGACTTAATGGGAAAGAGAATTAATAAGTAAAATACATAGGAACTTGTAGTTTATTAATTAAAATTAAGATAGAGAGTGAAATTTGATTCTCTAAATGTGGAGAGTCAAACTCACTTTCTAATTTATATTTTAAAGATAAAGAGTTTATTGGACTCTCATTTTTATGGATAAACTCTTTATAATAAAGAGTTTAGGTCATATAAAAAATCATTTGGAGATGCTCTAGCTGGTGATTCTCTAAGAATTTTTTACTCTTGTAACTTGAGTGATTGTTCTATTCGTATGCTTCATTAGCAATCGCAAAGAAAGTCATTAATGAAATAATAGTGGATTTATATATAGTATTCGAACCACTTTAAAAAAAAAAATTTGTAAATATTTTATTTATGTTTCCTTAAACATATATTATCGTTACATCACAAACAATCTCGTAATCATTGAACATGTAGGCTTCGTTTGTTTCACTTTTGGAAAAACTATTACTAGTATTCCCAAAAAAGTTAAATAGTAAAATGTCATTATTCCCAAAATATTATTCTATACCTCAAATACTTTTTTTAGAAATTACAAAAATACTACGACCACCCTCTGACGGTGGTGACCGGCTGTCCATATTTAATGGGTGGATTAGAAATGTTTTTGTTAACTTTTAATATTTTATTATAGGGATGTTTAATAAATAAATAAATATAGAAGGTATTTTTATTAATTTTTAAATTCTATATCGTAATATCCACCAAATTTAAATTTTTTAACCTTTTTTAAAAATCTTTTATCAAAGGTGTAAAAAAATGAACAAAACGGAGACGTAGATTCGTAACCATTTATGTGTGCCTATTTTATATATTAATCTCTATATAGCAATCTATTATATATTATATATAGATACACACCTAACAGTAATACTAAATTAAGTCAATTTTTTCTATCGTTTCTATCGAGACTGACGTAACATGAATTATTTGAGGCAGATTGATTATTGATGGGCAGATGAAGCACATACCCATCATCCGATGGCACATCGTAGTTTAGTATTACGGATACTTAAATCCGAAGAGGAGGTTGACCCAGTTGCGAGCCGAACCCGAAGGGTGAGAAAATTTCTATAAGAATTAAGAATATCATCATTAATGCTAATTATTCACTTTCATCTATCACTGGACAATCCGCCAAAGTTTAGTCACACAAAGGCCCCACCAAACGCGTCTCAAGTCTCATGGAAGATATTTAATTGCAAGAGAGTTAATTCATCACGTAATAAGAAGAGACGAGTGCCTTAGTCAAGACTATAGCGATAATTAAGAAACTTTCCCTGTTTTCAGATTGAAAGAACTTGAACAGCAGATTTTTGTGAAAGTGAGAACATGGGTTCAATTGCAAAGAATGGGTTGAGACAGTACTTGATACAGCTCCGGCAACATCCTTTGAGAACAAAGGTTCTTCCTTTCTCTTGTTTTTTGGTTTTTTGTTTCTCTTCTTTGATGGGTTTTTTGTTTTATGGATAAGCTTTTTGTTTGGTGGCTGAGAAAGTTGAGGAAATAAAAGGAAATTTAAAAATTGGATTTTTATAACTTCTGTTTTTTTATTAGAAATATGGGTTTTGACTCATAATTTTCTGGGAATTTTGTGACATTTTTACTTGTATTATCAGGCAATAACTGCTGGAGTGCTATCAGCAATCAGTGACATAATAGCTCAGAAACTCACTGGCATACAGAAACTTCAATTGAGAAGGCTACTTCTGAAAGTGGTCAGTATCTTTCTCATCTCAACTTTATATTTTTATGTTTCCAAATTAATTGATGATATTTATGCACAGTAGATTGCGCTTATATTATTGTTTCAGTGTCATTTGTTCATCTGATCATTAACTATTTAGCATTGTGTGACCTCCAATTATATTGATTGGTAAATCTCAGACTTATCTTGCTAGTGCACTGTCTGAAGACAATAGTCCACTGAGTTCATTTCCTATTTTCTTTGTATTGTGGGTTGCTGATGTTTCATACAATTACCTTTGTGGCTTTGTCTAAGTTTAAAAACTGGCTGGATAACATTAACTATTTCCAGGAAAAAGTTAATACAGAAGATAATTTATTTTTACATTCAATTTTTGGTTCTTCGACTCACTTGATTACTTCAAATTGTGAGTATGTACCACTTACTGTCGAACTGGCTGCTTATGCTGGCTTTTGGGTTGCATATAGTAAATGGATTCATTGTTTGTTAGATGGTTATTAGAGTGAATGCTTGTAAGCAAGTTCTGCTCGATGAAAATTGGACACAGGTGAGTCGGTTTGAGTGTAGCTGTGGACCGTTTAATTGGTATTTCGCACTCAGGCCTGCCTGGTTTTACACTGTCATAGTGGTTTTTAAATGAATGTATGTATTGTCGTTATATGTTTGTTCTCCAGCCATCTATTCTAATATGGTCAATTGCAGGTTTTTGGATTTGCATATCTTGGACCATTTGGACATTTTTTGCATCTAGTATTGGATAAAATATTCAAAGGGAAGAAGGATACAAAAACAGTTGCCAAGAAGGTAAATGGCTCTCTTCAACTTCAAAAGCTGTTAAATNATAAAGACGAATAAATATTATCACCTAATAAGTTAGTCTTTTGGGTAGTTAACAATCGTCCAACCCATAACATAGAAAGTATATTCCTTAACTATCTTCGAAACATATTGCTCTACATAAAACCACCTCACATTCCTAACAAAAGGTCATTTCAATTAAGTAGATGGTTACTTGTGTTGTGTGAGACCCAATTTTCCAATCGTGTTTTAATTGAGATAAATTCATGTGATGAGAAAGCACAACACCCCCCACTACATCTAATTATAGTAGCCAAACTCATACAAACATGACTTAAAAGGGAAAAGGAGAAGTGCTTTGAAGCTTAGCAACAGGCGTTGATGATGGATCATGGCTCTGGCTGTGGTGTGGGAATGTCATGGAGATTGATCTAATAATAACAATTATAAATGAACAAAGGGCGAACGGCATTTTCACACCCAAGGTTTGACGAAATGACACTTTCCCATCCGTCAAATTTTAAAATGACACTTTCTCACCCTTCATCGGGTTCTATAAGTGTTTTCTGTTAATATTTAACTGAAAAGACCAGAATACCCTTAAATAGTTTATTTCTTAATTAGTTTATTATAAATTAAAATTTAATTAAGTCAAAGTCTTTACTTAATTATTTATTAGTTCAAGTGTAAAGATACTTATTTTTCTTTGTTTATTTAATTAATTAAGAATATTGATTTTTTATATTAATTAGAAAAAATGAAAAACATTATAAATTTAATAGATTATTGAATAATAGTGATGAGATATTGATGACATTATAAATAAATAAATAAATAAATATTAAAATAATTTAACTTTAAACAATTTTATAGCATTACTCCTAACTTTTTAGATGGAACTAGAGGTGGAATATTTGGGCCGAGTTGCAAAATGGCAACCCGCAACCCGGCGGGTTGCTATTTTGTCTCTTTTGAAAGAGACCTGCCAACCCGCCGGGTTGGCCGAAAAAAATAAAATAAAAAATAAAATATTTTATTTTATTTTTTAAATTACCCATTTACCCTTGAAATATAGCCGTTTTATAGCCGTTGGAAGGGTCTTTTTCGTCATTTTTCTTTCCCATTTTTNGGCTCTCTTCAACTTCAAAAGCTGTTAAATTGCAGTTGTCATTCATCCGGCTGAAGTGAATGAGAAGACAAAAGAAGTAACCATTCTAAAATTCTGAATTGTATTAATTCAGGTGGTATTGGAACAATTGACATCTTCTCCTTTGAACAACCTTCTTTTCATGATTTACTATGGAGCTGTTATTGAGGGTAAGTTAATACCGCCATATGTAAATTTTACACATAGAATGCTCAGTCTTGTATGTGAAGCAATCACGAAATCCATATGAGAAATATAGTTCAATCATTCCTTACCAACTCTTAGTTCTGTCTTTTGTGCTAAGTTTGGCAACTTTTCAAACAAACCCCTAAAGAATCATACACTTGCTAAGATATGAACATTTCTTATAGCCATATCCTCTGAAATGCAGGGAGACCTTGGATGCATGTGAAAACTAAGATCAAGAAGGAGTATCCGAAAGTTCAATATACAGCATGGACGGTATTTGTTTATGTTCTCTGTATTGACTATGTTAAAATGAAAATATGCATCCCTTCAATATCTTTATAACCTTAATGAATGAAAATGCAGTTCTGGCCAGTTGTGGGTTGGGTAAATCATCAGTATGTGCCTCTGCAGTTCCGTGTCATTTTCCACAGTGCTGTAGCGATGTGCTGGTACATACTCTGTTTCCCTTTTGATACACTTCCTCTGTATGTAAATATTTCTTTGATTTCCTTTAGTGTTTCTTCCTAAAATTTACACCAAGGGAAAAATGGTTTTGTTGTATGCTTGTTACAGGGGGATATTTCTGAATCTACGAGCAAGGTCTATGGCATTGCCGAAAGCAAAATGACAAGGAAAGCATCAATATGTCTCACATGATTAATATGTAGTTCAGAGGATCTTTTAAACAACCACATTAGTTCAAGTGCTCAATCTCTTTCATATGTATTCTGAATATGAAAGCTTCTCCATTGAGTTATTCTTAACTTCTTACTCCCTTTGCTGGAGAACACCTTATGACCCATTGCATTTCAGGAGATGCTTGATATGTGTCGTGTTCCAAGTTTAATCACATAATATATTAGTTTTTTAAATCGTTGACAAGGGCTCGTCTAGATAGTAGATACTACTATATTTCACAAATTTCCCAGTTATCAATGTTGTAGGATCTAGGAATAACCCTCAATACAGAACTAACTCGTTGTTCAATCTAGAGCTACTCTAGCAAATGAAAATTTTACCCTTTAAATTTGTAATGTGAAAGTTGAAATGTGTAACAGGTAAAAGTAAAACAGAAGCTACGCAGTCTTAGAACTTGTGGAGGGTAATGTCTTGGTAAAATATGCAACCAGTTCAACTTTGAAATTTCAATACTTGTGGTGGCAACCAGTTCAACTTTGAAATTTCAATACTTGTGGTTTTGGGCGTCCTACTCAATAAATTATACAAGTGAAGACGCCATTATTTTGGAATGAAGCAAACCATCAATTTTGCTTTAGCAGTTGGTTCAAATAATTGGAGCAAAGTATTCCTTGCTATTTTTCTTTTTTAATGACTGGGGTGTCCTATTCAGTTTATACGCACTTCAACTAATATTTCAGGACCCTAGAACTACCGACAGAGAAGAGTTCCAGCTTGAGCGCATCTCAATTAATCCCTCAAGACTTTGGAACTATTGGTCGAGTAATCCTGCAAGACTTTGGAACTACTGACCGGGTAAGAGTTCTCTTGGTCACCCCTATTAGCAACCAAAGTGAATCGAACTTAAGGCCTCTTGGGTAATACATTCAAAAATCCTAGTTGATCACTCGATCATCACTGTATAATTAATGTCATTGAAAATGTTTAAACCTGCTATGACAGATTAGATAGTGACCTTCAAAATAAAGAGGTGCTGAACTTCACGAGATCGCTAACAAAGATCTCTATCTTTTGCCCCTTTGAAGATGATTTTAGAGTTTTTAAGATTAATTTTGCAGAAAACATTTTCTGAATTCCCAGTTGTTTGACTACACTTCTGATAATATAAAGGATATTCTATAATATAAAGGATATTCTCAAATATATCCTTAAAAAATGGCGTATATTTTTTAGTAAAATTAAACAATGCAGTAAACTAGTGATCATCTCACAGGAGTTTTTGAGATTGACATGAAGATCTTGCAGAGATCTCTTGGAATATTAAAATACATTAAACAAATGCTTAACTGGTAGCATATACAGAGACATTATCTTGAAAATATACATAATAGTACATGGAAGGTATTCCACATGAGGAATTGAGTAAACCACAAATTGTTAAATAAATTGCCATGTGAATTTGCATGCAGAAGTTGAAAATTCTAAAAATGACTGTGAACAAAACAATTATTTTAAGTTTTTTAGCCGAAATGAGCAATGGCCTGTTGAAGTAGAGCCAAGCAAAGCAGGTTTCGTCCCTACTATTGTGTTGCTGTTTCAATGTTTACTCGAGAATGGCTGTTGAAAGTCAAAACGTAGGAAACCCCAAGACTTGAAAGAAGTTTGGTTGAGAAAATTAATATTCAATGCAACATTGAGAGGTCCAAGTTTTAAGCCATGAACTTGTTCAATTTTCAACTACCTTCTCTATCGCTTCGCTTGTCAACCACACACCAGCTTGTTTGTATAATATCACCAACTCGACATTCATATCTCAAACCCAAATTCATTTCACAGTTTCAATGTTTACTCGAGAATGGCTGTTGAAAGTCAAAACGTACGAAACCCCAAGACTTGAAAGAAGTTGGTTGAGAAAATTAATATTCAATGCAGAAACATTGAAGAGGTCCAAGTTTAAGCCATGAACTTGTTCAATTTTCAACTACCTTCTCTACCTTCGCTTGTCAACCACACACCAGCTTGTTTGTAAAATATCACACAACTCGACATTCATATCTCAAACCCAAATTCATTCACGCTCTCTTATCAAAACCCTCGAAACAATCACTACAAATCCCTGAACACAAAACCAGAAAATTAGAAAGAGACTATTGTGTATAAAATGGCGACAGCTCAAGCTTCAAGCACCATTTTTTCTCATAGAAGAATAGACGTTAGAGCCCAATGAGTGCTCCGAATTTCAGGTTGAGTTTGAACCATCTTTCTCTTCCAAAACTTCCAACTAATACTCATTTGGAGAAAGAGTCCAGCCCCAATATCAGTTTTACAATAATTCTACAAGACTTAGAGTGGATGCTCCCGATTCGGAGTGATTTCTAAGCTTTATGAAATGATGGAGGCTGTAGCTGACAGAGTTGAGATGCATAAGAATATTGGAGCAGAGGAACAACTGGAACCAGCTGCTTTTATCATCCATAATGCAATCACTCTCACCGCTTCTTTAATGACAGGAATTGCAGCCACAATGGGTGTAAATGTCAGGATTTTTGGCTCTCAAGCTCTCTTCTACCATTCTTTATGGAGCGGCCCCTGGCATGTTGGTGATGATGAACACTATTCAACCATCTCAGCTCGCTGAAACAAAAAATGCGGCTAGATTGTTCAAGCACTTCACGGAGAACTTCAAACGTCGTGGCCCTGGGCAACCAACTGTTGTTGATGTGAATGAGCCTTGGAGAAAGTTTGGCGCTGGACAAGGCATTCCCTCTTCTTTACTAGCGCAAATGATCGAAAAGTTCCCTTCCGTGTTAAGCCTGCAGTGTGGTGGCCTCAACAAAGGCGAAAGCAATGGCTCGAAGGAAAATAAATGGAATGGTGTAGTTCAATCTGGAAGAAGAAATGAGAAACATTGTTGAGGTTTTGAAGAGGAAAGATCTGGATGTTACCAAGGTTGGGTAACAAAGCTTTGAAACTGAACAAAATGTTGGCGATTTCGGGTCCTTTGTTGACAGGCCTTGCAGCCATTGGTTCAACCTTTGTGGGCAATAGCAGCCCTCTTGGTTCACTGGGTGTGATGCTAGGAGTCATTGGTGGAGCCATGGCTAGTGTCATAAACACATTTGAGCACGGTGGGCAAGTTGGGATGGTGTTTGAGATGTACAGTAGCAATGCCGGTTTCTTTAAGCTTATGGAAGAGACAATAGAGTCAAATATTGGTGAGAGGGATGTTGAGAGAAGAGAAAATGGAGAATTGTTAGAAATGAAGGTTGCTCTACAATTGGGAAGGAGTTTATCAGAACTCAGGATTCTTGCAGCATCTTCTTCAAGTAATGGTACTGAGGCCACTGAAGAATTTGCAAGCAAGCTCTTTTAATGGATGCTTTTGCTAAATTAGTTAGTTTCATATGATGTACATTTCTGTTCATAATTAATTGATTCAAATTCTGAATTAGTTTGATGCTACTTTTTAATCCTTTCCCTTCAACGTAGTAGGGCTCATGACTATTATCTAATTTAATTCTCAGGTGTGAACTTAAATTATGTTACAAGCAAAAACGAAGGCCAAATAACTTTTATCGATTTTGATTTTACATTTGGTTATGTTGAAGGCTTTTGATCCAGTTTTTTTGTTAAGAATAACAATGTCTGCACTTGAAAATGACTTCCATTACTGATTTTAAAATGAGAAATTAACCTGTGGTAGTCAACATTAATGTTGTTAAGATGGTGGAATGTATGAAATGACAAGAGCCGCTTCAGAAGTTCACACAGAATTTCAAAGATAAACGACTTTTTCCCACGCAAGGTTTGCGTTAATGACACTTTCCACCCAAAAAGTTTCAAAAAACCATTTTCACACACAAAGTTAATATTCTGTTACTACCCAAAGCCGATTCCGGCTGATTTTTAAGAGAAAAACTCTCTCCATCACCACCATTTGAACTTTTAGTCTCCTCCCTAAAAACCCCCTCTCACGTTGACATCTAATTTCTTGCCTATTGTCGGTCACTGTAAAAATAGGGTTTCCTATTTTTAGCTGATTTTCAGTTGATTTCGATGGCGAATATTCAATCGATCACTACCATTCAATCCACTGGCCTTCACTATACAAAACCCCTATTACTCTGACTCTTGGTAACTCGTCAAACACCAGCTAGGAAAGTGAAGTGCATTTTGGGTATTAACAGAATATAAACTTTGGGTAGGAAAGTAATATTTTGAAACTTTTCAAGTGGGAAATTGTTATTAAGGCGAACCTTGGGTGGGAAAAAGTCGTTTACTCTTTCAAAGATATACAAACAAGTTAAGGTGAATCTTTTAGACCAATAAAACATGTTAAGGTGCCATATTTTATTCATTCCTAGTTAAAAATATACTTGGGTTTGATCCAAGTTATATCAAATTTGATCAAACAAAAGCATATTGTGGGTTTTAAGTTGGCCTGATCTTTCATTTTGTCCAAGTCAAATTTAGGTTGCTGTCTTCCTTTGTCAGAATGTTAAGAGAGTTACCTGATTGCGAGGGAAAAAACGAAATGAAAGTGACTATTCTTGAACATATCGATCGAGTCCTTCATAACAGTTGTTATAGAAGTGGTTCTACCTAATAGTTGGCATATAGATGTAAAAATCGTGGTGGGTTTACTGTCTTTCCCTTTGTTTTGTTCATACCATTCTTTCTTTCAACTATAATTTATTCAGCAGTATGGAGGGTTACAAAGAGGCTGAACCCCTCCTAGAACTTGCTCACCTTAACTTAAGCCAAACTTTTCACTTGAAAAATAGAAGGATAATTTTCACAAAACCTCCCCTAGAGTTTGATTAAACTTTAGGGCTTCAATATGTTTCACAAATAGATAGATAACCCCTTGATTGCACGCACCTCAGCTAATATCTTGGGGTCTTAAAACTGTTAGCCAGGTAAGAGCCCCAATGGTCACCCCTATTAATCCTTGAGGGGACTCGAACTTAAGAGCTTATAGAACATCTTTTTTCTTTTTTATTATTAAGTCACTCAATGATGGTTAACCCCTTGATATGTGTCAGAAATAGCCAAAAAACCCCTTCTCGCCAATCTCAGTTAGCAAGACCAATTAAAGAAAATGGCAAACAACTAAGAGGATAATAATTTTCAATACAAAATAAAGATGACAAGTA